CACACACACGCACACACCACGCTGGCACAGACAGGCTTAGTCCGGTCTCTCTCTCTTCTCTCATTCACCTCAGTCAAACCACATCACCACTTGCATCGATTCCGGTTTTGTCCATACCTCACCTCATCCGCCGGTTCTTCTCCCTTCTCTCCCTTTGCTGCCCCAATCCGTCCGCGCCGCCCCAGAGGAATCCTCCTTCGGCCTTATTTTCACCGCTCGCCACTTATTCAGAAGAAGCCTTACGTCTGTTTAACTGAATGACTTCTTTCCCCCGTCCGGCATCTTATTCCGGCACCACCCCATCACCATCAACAAACCCAACATATCCGTCTCCGTAAGCCAGCTCATCCGTCTTATTTATTTTCTTCATCGCCTCATTGCACGACCTCTTCTTCGCATTCAACCGTCATGGACCAGCGCTCTCGTAGCAGCCGTCCGAATCGTCGCAAAACTCTTCCAACCTTCAGCATACAGTCTGATACCAGCGCTGGCGCCGAGTCTACCTCGACCATCATGACGCGCTCACCCCCCGTTGCTGCCTCTCGCACTCCCCAGACCGCGCCGCAAAATCGTCGCAGCGTTAAAGTCATTCCTGTAAACAGCCCCTTCAGCCTTCGCTCCTCCCCCTCCACCACTGCCCCCGGCCCCGGTAAGACGGCCCTGAGGAAGAAGTCTCGCACTGGCTTTGAAGGCGCCGCCGATGAAGACGACGAGGCATACCGCAAGGGCCCGCACACTTTGCGGAAGCGTGCCAAAATCGATTACTCGGCCGCCGACTTTGAGGACGAGCTGCCAGAGATTGCCATCCCCGCTCCTCGTGCCGCCACCCGTAAGAGGCGCGCTGACAGTGAAGTCGCCGACGACGAGTACTCTACTCCCGCTGCTCAGAAGCGTCGTGCGACCTCGCGAGATTTTTCCGCCGCCAGCGCCGCCGCCGCCACTCGCCGCCGGACCCCGGCCCGCAGGAGCATCGTTGAACCGCAGTCCTTCCACTCTCAGCCATCAGACGAGGACATTGTCAAGGATACCATCGAGGTCGTCGGCGACTCTTCCGATCTCGTGAGCTCCGATGACGCCTCGGACCATGATGAGGACGACAACGATCACTCGGGTCGCACTTCAATCCCTGAAAAACATGAACAGCCTTCATCCCCCATCCGCCGTAGAGCCTTGGACGTCCATCAACTCATGTCCCCCGTCGACCAGCATACTGTCAAGCGCGACGACAGGCACTCAGGCCAGGCTCAAGACGTCTCGGGCGCCGCCGCACCTTCTGCTATGCGCTCTAGTCCCATCATGGCACATCCTCGGCCGATCCGCTTCAACCATGTTACCATTATCAACGGTCCTGGCTCACGCCCACAGGCCGAGCAGGTGCCTACACACCGCACTGAATTCTCCCAAAATTTCTCATTCCAGCCCAAGAGAGAAGCCAGCTCTCCTGTGCGTCCGACCGAAAGCCTGCCGCAGAGAACAGCCCTGCCGCAAGCGGTTGAGTCGGCCACTCGGCCAACTGTGGTTTTCGGCTCACAGGAAAACTCGGCTCTCGCCGTCGCCGAGAACCATGAAGCTGCCGTCGCCGCCGCCACCACCAACAGTGGCCATGTAACTGTTGCACGACCTATTGAGGAGGCACCACAGCCTGCCCCTAAGCGAGACACTCATAGAGAAGTCGTCAATGGCCATGTCGAAGCCGACAAGTATGACCTGCCGCCTCATCAGCAGACACAAAGCTTGCAGGTTCCTGCTGCTGCGATACACGGCAATGAAAAGCACGATATCGACGCTGCTGAGTCATTCAGTACCCAGCCTGAAAAATCCTCTCAATCCAAACATGACATGGACGCCTACGCCTCGGAAGAGTCAGACGCAGATACGCAGCATGATGTTGCTGTCCACCCACCAAAAGCCGCGTCTCCGCGGCCCACTTCCATTCCCAAGGCGACGAAAAAACATTATGCATGGTCCCACCTTACACCCTACATCGACGGCGAATATGTCACCCACTCCATTTACCCCGTCGCTGTTGAGGCTTCGGCGCCGGCTTCCAATGCTGACGCAGCCGAGGCCGGCGGTGACGCGGAGAATGCCGACGACGCAGCGTACCAGGCCGACCCAAACGCCGACTACAAGCAGGTTGATGTCGACGCAGACGAGGATGGGAACGCGGACGCGGACGCGGATGGCGAAGGCGATGACGTCGACCGCGACGCTGAGCATGACGAAGATCTTGCGCCCGACAGCCAGGGCCAACCACTGTCCCAAGGTTCTGCCTATAACTCCGCGGCCCCTACTCCTGCCCTTACGCCCCGTCAAGGCTCACCGGTGCTGCCCGCTGCCATCGCCGGTACGAGTACGCCGGCTCCACTCATGCCCAAGCAGCGCTTCCGCAAGCAGTACAAGTTCAAGAAGCTTAGAGATCCCACTGAGTTCGCTGCCTACCTGAAGGACACCAAGGAACTCTCGGATGAGGAGCTCTGGTATCTCCTGGAGAAGGCCAACGAGTGCCTCGTCGCCTATCAAGAGGAGTATAAGAAATGCACCAGAATCGTAGACGATCAAGAGAATGCTCAACGTCGAGCCGCTCAAGACGCCGCCTTCGAAAAGAAGACGGCCGACCTAAACGCCTTTGCCAAGGTAGACTCGTACATTGAAAAGGACTTTGAGGTGCAGGGCTCTCGAGCTACCATCAAAGAGAAGGACGCGGGGATTCTCGATCAACGCTGGCAAGACAGGATCATGGCAAATGCATACGGCTTCGAATACGACCCTCACCCCAACAAGATCGGCAACCAGGACCCCGGTGCGCAGAGAGAGGGTGGTGGTGAGGGAGGTCGACAGCTCCGGAGCCAGCCTCAGGCGAGCGCCAAGGCGGCTGAAGGCGACGGCGTCATTGTCTCGGGCAAAAGAGCCCGCAACCCCCCCAAGTTGTTCGACGGTGTGTTACAGGACGACCACCGTGCAGCAACTCCAGGAAGTAACAAGCCCGGCCCCAGGAGAAGAGGAAGGGCTGCTGCCGCAGACAAGGCCGCCTCGCAAGAGCAGGAGCCGGATGAGCCGGAGCCCCAAGCAACCTCGCCAGCCAGGCCCGGACCGAAGAAGAGGGGGCCGAGGGGCAGGAGGTCTGCCGTGGTGGTGTCTGAGCCCGGTACTCCTGTACCTGAGGAGGACGCTGTCGCGCCACCTCCCGAGCCAGAGCAGTCGCAGCCCCCCAAGCGTAAGCGTGGGCGCCAGCCAAAGTCGGCGGCCGTCGTTGTCGAGGAACCCGAGCCAGAGGAGCCAGAGAAGCCGGCACCGAAGCGTGGTCGCGCGGCGAAGAGACAGAGCAACGGCCATGTTACCAGTACCGCTGAGACGACTGACGAGTCTCGCCCCACCTCGTCGTCCTCCAGCGCCACCATCTCAGACGATGGTTCAACCTACGGGCTGCGCCAGAACAAACGGCATCGGAACTGGAAAGAGGAGACCGTCGCTGACGAAGAGGAACCGGAGCCGGAACCCCAGCCAAAGAAGTCTCGCATCATCCGTATTAACCGGAAACAGAGCGCGCCAGAGCTCGCGCCCAGGAAGACGGCGTCGGAGAAGATCCTCACAGAGCTCCACGACTTCTCGACATCGTCGACTGCGCCCGACTCTCCCCGTTTGACGGTGTCCTTTAAGCTTATAGGAAAAGACCACTGGACCCTCAAACCTGCACCATCCCCGCGTCAAACCTCGACGGACGTCAGCGAGTACAACCTTGCGACACCCCGGCCAGCGCCAGTCTCTGCGCCCGCATCAGCAAAGTCTTCGGCACCACCAAGCCAGGCCGGAGAGGAGAAGGACTACTCCACCATGACCAAGTCGGAGAAGATGTCGGCGTCGATGAAGAGTAAGTTTGCAACGATTCAACTTTGGCCCGACCAGGTGTCGCTAACACCCATCACAGAACGATGGCTCAACGGCAGTATGCAGGGTGCCGTCAACAAGAGAAAGGCAACTCTCGCTGCGAAGAAGCAAGCCGCAGCACTTGCCGAGGCTCAAGCCGCCCAAGCCGCCCAGCAGAAGGCGATGTCATTCCAGCAAATTGGACCCTTCCCCATGGGGCCGAGCAAATAGATGTGGTTTATCCAATACCATATCGTCATATACCATACTATTACCATCATGAGAGACGGCACGTGGGTCTGCCGCGTCGAAATGGCAACAAAGGCCACACGAACCCCGCCAAGGTCGACCAGGCGGTCATGAAAGCCACGAACACCATTACCAGCATTGATGCCTCTACTCCCAGAGCAGGGTTTTGATATTTTGATATTTTGTTTTTTCCCAACAGCTATCTAGTATTGTATACCCATTCGCATGACGACAGTCGCGTCCGAATGGCGTGGACAAGCCGGGTGAAGTAAACACAGACGACCTGCATCTGCCACACTTTAATTGTTTTTCGTCCAAGTACAAGTAGCAACGGAGAGACGACTTTGGGAGACTTTCTCTCATACCATCGGCATCGGGAAGCGAGGGCATCAAATTCCTTTTTTTTTTCTTGATATTTTTTTACCTTGGGATTGGAAACCAAAAAAAGAGCGTACGGATATTGCATTGAACGGACGGAGCGGGCCGCGAAGCCTACTCTTTCCGAATAGGAGGGGAATCACAAGGGCTGTTTGCTTCTTCATCTGATGTTTTTTTTCTCTCTTGCTCATCTTGTGTTTTGTTTCTTTCCACTTTTCTTTGGATCCCTGCCAGCGAAGTCATCTTCGTTGGCGTGTGTTGGCTCGACTCGGGCCCGGTTAGAGGGATCTGCTCTGGTTTTCTTGCGAAAGATCTTGTCGAAACGCATCCAAGGCGTGGGCGGCATTGGACGCGGTCTCGGATGAGGGGAGGGAAGGGGAGGGGGGAACGTGATAGAGTGCATACTTTTGAGGCAATTGATGTTGATGTCGAAAGCAACTTTGATGATGATGATGCAATGCGAAAGCTAAAGCTACGGTATCGTGATATTCCGTACCGTAGGGTATGGATCCGCTATTTTTGTCTGGTACATGGACTAACAGCCTCACACGGCGACGGTATGCCGTCGCCGTCCTCCTCGACGTCGATTTCGCGTCTTTCCTGCGCATCGGGACATCCTCGTTGGCAGACCGTATCCCACGGACTCGGCGAGAGGCGATTGACAGAGAAGACGACGAACGTCCCTAAGCTGCGCTGGCCGGCTTAGCCCCCCCACATATTCTCTCAGTTCCCTCATGCATAAGGCCCCACGCCAGAGCCTGCGCTTCAATGCATTTTTAACCTTGCCGCAGGCGTTGACGTGCCTTGCGGCAATAGTTTATCCGGTTTTTTGGAGGCGAATATTCACTGCCTTTTTTTTTTTCTTTTTTTCTCACCAATACGCAGGCGTCAACAGTTTGCAGTAAAGTATAGGTATACGATTCTCTGGCATCTTGACTGCATCGTTGAACCCCCACGCAGAACTTTCTTTCCTTGCCTACGCGCCTGGTGCACCTGGGGGCAGCCAGTGGGTGGGTCTCACCCTCTCCGCCCGAGTTAAAAACGCAGTGAAAAGAGACAACCGCGAGAAACCCGGGAAACGACAGGTGAAAGCCGATTCGCTCTTTGGGTTTGGTACGTAGGATGCCGGTCGGAGCGAATACTTCATCCTTCGGGCGAAGAAGCCTTGGGAAAGACCCAGCCAGCTCGGCGGGATGGCGTACATAGACGCGTTCTGCCATCGTCGTCGCCATCGCCCTCCCATCCCGCAGGAAGCTCCGCTGCTGCCGGGCGAACGCTGTTAGAAGTCCGTTCCTGCCAAGTACAGTGAACTGTGCTTTAGGAGGATCAGAGTCGTCCGTCGCCGAAAATGCATCTCACGTAGAATTAATCCCAGGCCCGTCGGAAGGCATGCGAGGAAGCGTGACAAGTTGAATACCGACCGAGAGATCTTGACGCCCGTGGCATATTCGGCGGGGATACAGAGCCCGCCCGCGCAGACTCCGGCTTCTTTGGCAAACTTCCGGGCGGGGGTGGGGGGGGCGGGGAGGAGGTGAGTCACCTTCAACCACCTGCAAACTGCTCAAAGGATTGGCTCCGTCTTAAGCATGAACCGCGCCGTAATGTGTCTTTCCCGCGGGCAAGCATACGAGCAACGGACTCCAACTCGCTTCATGAAGCCGGCAACCGACGAGGCGGCTCGGGCCGAGACGAATCCTGACAAGGCTTCGAGGCGGCGACGGCGGCCTCTCGTTGGAGGTAGGCTACACCTCATTCCAAATCTAGTTCATACGGATGACCCAGCGACGCCTTCTCTATTCGTGGCGAAATTCAGGATACTCTCGGCTGTGCAAATTGTCCACTGCAATTTTAACCTCCCCAAAGGCAATGCTACTACATTGGGTCATGCCGTCAGGAGGTGAGCTGCGCCCACTGCTTTCGGAGAATCATCGGGTAGCGAGGCATCATTGGCTCTTTGGGCCCCCCTCCCGAGCAGGGCTCCCGCCTTGACCGGGCGGCACAGTTCCGGAGACCTCCGGCGAGCGGTGCCGAACTCCTCGGGGGCCGCACCAGGCAGGCAGGCCTCACAATGCACAGGACAAATAGGGGAGGGGGGCTTCATCAATCGCCGTAGGACGGCCGGACGGGAATGTGTAACGTGCGCAAAGAATCGGATTTTTGTATCTCCTCTGTATGCGAAATGCCTGGTATGAAATTTCTTTCCCTTTACACGCCACAGCCGAAATGCAGAGCCTGCCAGTTCCAGCGAGGAAACTAAAAAGAAATGAGACCAGGCCAACAACCCTCTTTCTGATTGTTTTATACCCTTCCTCTGCTCGGCCCCTCCGGTCACCGGAGAGGCTTCTCCAAGGGAAGGGTTTTAGGGGGGAGAATGGTGATGATGATGTGTCCCATGGTTTCCGCACCGGTTGACCTAATCCGTAGCCATAACGTCGTCCTTTTCGCCCTTTTGTTTCTTGACTTTGTGAAAGAAAACTCCTTTACATAACGACACCGGAGTTGCTGGCAATACGCTGAGAAAAAGGTGTCAGTAACGGAGGGTCGAGGTTCCTGTCCATCATTCGGGGCAACTTACGGGCCAGAGCTCAGCAGCCTCCTTACCGACGGGGCCGGTAATGGCGGAGCCCTTCATCTCACCCTTGGGGTTGACGATCTGTGGAGCATTCTGGTCAGCAGAGTTCCTTATTTGCTTTCAACGACGACGGCTGGTGACCGGACTGGCGCAGAGGCCGAGGCCCATCCTACTCGGCGCGTCGCATCCTCCAACATCGAAGGGGGGCACTTACGACACCGGCGTTGTCCTCGAAGTAGAGGAAGACACCGTCAAAGCGCTTCCAGGGCTTGGACTGGCGGACGATGACGGCGGGGTGGACCTTCTTGCGGAGCTCGGGCTTTCCCTTCTTGACGGTGGCCATGACCATGTCACCGACACCACCAGCGGGCAGTCTGTTGAGGCGGGCACCGATACCCTTGACGGAGATGATGTAAAGGTTACGGGCACCGGAGTTGTCGCAGCAGTTCATGACGGCACCACTATACACAAGTCAGCCAGGAGTTCCTTTTTTCGCCGTCGCGTCTCCTTGTTCGGGGCGAGGAGACGGTCGGAGGGTTAGGACTTGTTCGTACACGGGGAGACCGAGGGTCATCTTGAGCTTGCCACCAGGGGCACCACGCCTGTGAGAATTTGATCAGCACTTCTGCATCGATTGTCACGGTTGCTCGGTTCCTCTCTTGACGGGCGCGGCGTTTCGTCTCGGCAGTCGGCGGGGGCGTTTGCAGATTTTTTTTCCCCAGACGTCCAAGGGAAAGTCTCGATTTATCGCAGTTGTGTCTGGTCTTTCTCGCAGTCGTTTCCATCTCCAAAATGTCCCAGACCTTCCGATCCCTCTCGTCGAATGTTTTTCCCTCTCTTTCTCTGCGTCGTTCGTGCATCGCGTATCGTTTTTGGAGCGCCCGCCCGCATCGCCGAGTTGCCATCCCACCTCCCACCACCGAGGACAGCCAAGGCGGGGGAAGTAGGGAGTCGCGAAAGTCGCGCCGTCGAGGAGTCGAGCAATTCAGAGCGGCAAGGCAAGTCACTTACGAGATTTTGGCCATTGTGTCGGTTTGGGGGTGTCGGGTTCAACAACGGGGCTGGCTGGAAGGGTTAGATGGCGGACGTGGAATCGTGCAGTAGCAGACCGTGGAACAATTTCACGACTTCAGGTGTGTTTTCGATTTCGTGAGTGGGTCCGCAGGAAAAGCGGCAGAAACCCTACGAATTTTTGGGGAAGGAAGCGAGTAGTTGTTTATCTTATCTCCACGTGACTCGGTGTGTCGTAGCTTACCTAACTGGCATCTTTTCCCCAAGCTCAATGCCAATGTCCAGCGCGTCAACGCACCAGCCACACCGGCAGATGCTGACATGGTTCGCATCCATACACTGCAATTTTAACCACCCTAAAGGCGATGAAGATGGCTGTGGTGTGGTTGGTGCCACCATCGCCATCTTCATCGCCTTGAGGGAGGTTAAAATGCAGTGCATCTTGGTGAGAATAGTGTACCACAGTTGGAATGGATATTTGGAAGCCCGTGTAAATCAAACATTTTCATCCATGATAAAAATGGCACAGTTTTTCCAGACTCCCGTTCGAATCACCCTGGTATCACGCTGTTGTCTCGCTCCATTACGAATGGCATATTCTGATTTGCCATGTATTCCTGCATACTCATTGAAACTCTCCGTCTGCGCTAAATGTTTCTTCAGTACGAAAGGTATTATTCTCTGAAGTGTTTTCCAGATTTCACGTGTCTTATTGCGATGCTAGGAGGCATAATTGATTTTTGTATTTGTCCTTCTGGATGCCCTGCACGTTTGATGATCGCGAATGAAAATATGCTACTGACATGTTATGCATCTCGAATAGAAGTTCCAAACATTTGATTTTTCTTGAAGAAGAAGAGTAATTATATAACGATCTGTTCGGGTCAAATCACTATAAAGTCGTCGGGTTGAAACTTAAGCGTGGCTGAGCTGCCCAAGCAACTCCGCCATGTCAATATCAAAGCCCTCTCTGTAGCCTTACGACTTGCCACATAAACGCCCACAACCAGACACAACTCATATACAGTTTCTACCTCCCTATCTTTCATCTTCCAAACAACACCGCCATTTGGAGAAGGCCCCGATACCCCCCATAAACTTCCATGTAAAAAGCTTACACGCTAACACTCACACACTCGGGAGCCCGATCTACCGCAACACCCGAGCGATACAGCAGGGCACCACACTTCGCGGCGGTTGTGCTCAAAGTGGAGGATAGGCTAGATACCGCTGATGGTTTCACACGGGGAGGGAGCTGGGGTTCTGGAGAAGTAGTGGATAGAGGATGCATGTTATTGTGTTGAAGCAGGTTCAAATGTGATGGGAGATGCGGCTGTCGATGGCCAAGGCCACGACCGCGAGTGAACGATTATGAGGCACGACGTGACTCTAGGGGTCTGGGAGCAGCGAGTCCGATCTAGAGACGCTTGGTGATGCCTGAAGCAGACTCGCCAAGTGAGCTGGAGCCCGAGGAACAAGCAAGGCGATGGTGATTAACGGAGCAAAGACTCTATGCGGCGATGAGACATTACGAGCCGATTAGTGGTGAGTGTTACAAAGTGTCAAGAATTTTCACTTCGCAGGGACCCAAGATTACGAATTCCCGAACTCGTTGAAACTAAGATCACACAATGGGGTTCTTGCTGGCCTGCCGCTTCCTTTCAGACGTGTCGGTTGGAGAGGCATCAGACTACGAAGCGCTGGGGGTGATTGCCTGACAGGCTCTTGACTGGCATCACAACGGTGCACGCAATCATCGGAGCAATAATAGTGCAAATCAAAACGATTACGTCTGTAATGGGATACGGGGGGTATCTTGAAAAGAAGTGAAGCTGTCTGCCTCATGACCTACCGAGGCAGTGTGACCGAGATCACGAGAAGAATAACAAGAGCGAAAAGGCCGAAATCAAAGCCGTGCTAAATGCAAGCCCAGCGGGGGAGCTCAAATGTTGTGAGCCCCCCGAACTTTCCTAGCTGTCACCGCCCCCTCCGTCGCCACTGCTGGGGCCGCTCGACTTGGGTTCGGCATCCTTCGCGTCCGCGTCGGGCCGCACGCTCTGCGGGTTAGAGAAGAGGTCTTTGGGATCCCACGCTGCCTTGACACGCTGCAGCGTCGGCAGGTTGGTGCCCCAGTAACTCTCCTGCGCGTTCTCGAGCGTCGGGTCGACGTATCCCGCGTACGTGCTGAGTTCACTCGGGCTGGCCTTGCGAATGGTTCCGGTGATGCCGGCGATAAACTCCTTGGTCTTGCTGTTCAGCGTCGGAAGGCCGATGCCATAGCCCTGGCAGAACATGATCTTGTCGCGATGGCGGTAGGCTGTGGCGTTCATGGGCACGTCGTTGATGGCGCCTCCCGTCACGTCGAAGATCAGAAACCAGATCAGAGTGCCGCGTTCTACCTCGTCGATGTAATCCATCAGGTTCTCGATAGCGTCGTCGGACAAGAGTTGGTCGCGGGTGAAGGCGAGGCTCTTGGCGGTGAAGGGGGACCGGATATCGCTCAGCCAGAGAGCCGCGTCCTGTGCCTTTTGCGCGACGTCCCCGAGCCAGTCGTTGACGACGACGGAGACCTTCCCCGTAGGGATCTTGTCCGGTATGCCCGTCGCCAGAAACTCGGCTTCGGTGCCGTAAAAAGTAGCTGTGATGGCGACGCCGAGCTCCTGCATGACGAACTCGCTGCTAAAGCGGCGGTCGAGATCCGGGTCGGAGATGAGATCCTGCCACTGCTTGAAGACGGGAGCGAGGTCGCGGTGCTTGGCGAAGGTGATGGAGTACGAGTACTGCACGACATCGCCGGGTTCCGGGTGGGTCCGCATGACGAACTCGGTGATGACGCCGAAGCCGGCGCCAGCCCCCTTGAGAGCGAAGAATAGGTCCGAATTCTGCGTGTCACTGGCGCGCTGGATCTTGCCATCGGCCGTGACAACTTCGACCTCGACGACGTGGTCGAGGCAACTTCCCCACATGCGTGAGCTGGGCCCAAGACCACCCTATTTTGTTTGGTGTTGCGTCAGCATGGCGAGATCAAGGTAGAAGGCATCGTCGCCGGACGCGGAGACTTACAATGGTGGCATGACCGCCGATACCCACGCCGGGACATGTGCCGTGCGCCATGGCACGTTTCCCGTTGTCGTGCAGCTTCTCGGTAACGTCGTGCAGCCTGTGGCCTCCGCCGATGGTTGCCTGCCAAGTGTTTGTGTCCATTGAGAAGTGTTGGAAATTGCCAAGGTCGATGACTAGGGCACCATTGGTGCCACCGAGGCCAAAGTTACTACGCAGGCCAGGTTAGCTGCGGAGCAGGTTAAGGCCAAGCTCGACCGTCACGGCCATGGCATGACGACGTACGCGTAAGAGTGTCCTCCTGACTTTGCCTGCACCTTGACGCTGTTGTCTGCAGCGCATTTGACGAAGCCGGCGACGTCTTCCTTGGTTTCAGGACGGGTGACGGCGATCGGCACGACGGCCAGGTCCAGGTTATACGGCTTCACCCAGTTGATTTGATAGAGGGGGTCGTTCGAATAGCCGACGCAGGAGGAACGGCCATCGCAGACGTTATCGAGGCAGGTCGCCAGCGGGCTGCTGGGCTTCTGTCCCATATCCGTTGCCGCGTATGAAACTTTGGGATAGCAGAGGGACAAGCGCCAACATGTAATGGGCGGCAAAGGGTCTACCAGCAGCTCAGATGTGGAAGAGAGTTGCGGAGGGTCCGTGTTTATACGTGAATGCTCAATGCCAACCGCCTCTGGCAATCTATGGGTGTCCTGGTCCTTCCGGGTTGGATACATAAACATCCCAGGGATGGATTATGGAGGGCCAGGCCCAGATGCTCCCTTCAACCTAAGCGGCTGATCTCGGACCAGGTTAGCGATGGACCGGCCATAGAGGTGTCGTTCCTGCCCAGTCATCCCCTCGTGTGTGGGCGGCTGCTATCAATCCCGCCTATCGCATCACCATCGATACACAAGGAACCGGTTAAGAGGTGGCTGATGCGTGGCGGGCTAGACCACGGAAGGTCGTTCCAGAGTAGCAGCAGCATGGAAGATTGCCACCGTCGGTTTCGTGTGGCGGGGCAAGAAGAGCAAGCAAAGCCCCCTTGATTTGGCACGTCATCCGCCATGTGCCCTGCCCTTGCTTCTTGTGCCTGGCAAGCATGGCGCTGAGGATATCCCATGCCGGGGCAGTCAGCGTGATGATGGTGATGTGCAATAAATACCTGGTGTAATACGTACAAACCAAGCTTGTTTGGCGGAGGTGGGGTAGCATCGAGAGCGACTGGACGGAGTCAATAGGTTCGCGTGGGATCTTGGCGTCCGAAGGACCTCATGCAATGCGGTCGAAGTGGAGGAGAAACGGTGGCGCATTCGATGACCGTTGGCGTACGTGGTCCAAGAAACGCTGGGGCGCTAGGCTATGGCTGTGCAACAGGCAACAGCGCCAGCCTATGACAGGAGACAGATGAGCCAAAGCCATGGCTGTTGTGTGGGCGTACTCTCGGGAATCGGGAGAGGAGGGTGGTAGCCGTCTAACGGCTTGTCTCAGATTTCGACCTTGACAGTCGATCTTGGGGTCTCAAATGGTTAATCAGCGACCATGTGGGAACATTTAGAGTGTTGCCAATAGCGCCGGCTTCGACTTGTGAAGAGTACTGAAAACCTAGGTAGGGAGGAAGGCATTATTAATCGAAATATGCCAGGACACTTTGTAGGAGAAAGGAGCCAACCGCACACCCGCACCAGGACATCCGACCGCCATCAATGGCTTACATAACGAAGCACAGGTCCAGCCAGGTCTGATGTGCACGGTCCGCTCACCTACCACCACACCACATCTCATTGCACTTAGCAGCGGTTCAAGATGATCGAGTGGTCAAAAACATGGGCCATCTTGGGATACACCTCAAACAACCACAAAACTCACTACATGGCTGCCCCGAGTCAAGCGAATGTAATATAATGTAGGGAGAAATATGCTTGCAAGCACAAATGTTGAGCCATCACTAAGGGAGAGATGTCTGTCAAGATTGCCAGTTAGGATCCCCCGGTTTTCGACACAGAAGACACCCGAACCTTATCTGTCTTTGCAGCCAGTAAGGACATGGGGGCGACCGACCATGTCGAGTGTTTAGAGCTTTTTTGGACTGGGAAGGAACATGAACTCGCCAGGAACGTCGCATGT